TTTTTTTTTTTAGCAGTTTTTAGCCAGGGCCAGGTTTGAACCCGCCACCTCTGGTAGATGGAGCTGGCACCCTACTCCTTTGAGCCACAGTAAATGCCCAATAAATTGATTTTTTTTAAATGAGGAAAGACCATGAAAAGTCATTTTCAAGTGAAATACAAATGATCAAAAAAAAAAAAAACATGAAAAGATACATACCATTATAAGCAAATAAATGTATGTTTATAATGGCAGAGCTTTTTCACCCTGTAAGTTTTAAAATTTTTAAGGAGAGTGTTGGAGAATCCCACTGTTGAGGGGACTACGAACTGGTACAGTCGTTCCAAGAAACTATTTGAAAATATCATCCAATGTTTTTGACATTTAACTTTTGATCCAGCAGTCTCACTTCTAGGAAACTTCCTGCAAATAAGTCAGAACAAATATTCCCAAATACGTTGATACCTACGTGCTCTACAGTATTGTTTAGAGAAAAACTGTAAACAAACTAAATACCCATCCATCAGGAGCAATTTAACTAAAGTATGGTAAATTTAATAGTGTAACAACTCTTTAAAAATCAGGTCATTAACATGTACTAACGTGGAATGAAGATCCAATGTGTAAATAAATATACATGTTTCTGTACATATGCACGTTGGTACGTGTATGTAAGTGGGACCAATTTTCACTCTGTACCATACGTCTGCCTTCGAATTTTTAAATACATGATTTCCCTGGGTAGTAAAAAGTTTGAAACTAAATGTTAAACGGTTCAGATGACATAAAAGCATGCCTCTAATTATATGAAGAGATTTTCTAATATTGATTTCATTAAAAAAAAAAAAGCAGGCTGCTACATTTATTGTTAAATTCCATAACTTCATTTCAGCTTATTATTACCGCTTTTGGTTAATCTAGCATGAAAATTTAAAACAATGTCCCATAGTCTGAGAAAGTACTGTGGTATACACTGATAGGAAGTTAAAATCTTATCGATGAGTATAGAAATATAAGAGTTCCGACTTCAACTTTCAATCCAAGTGAAAGCAAAAACTGCCTCATCTTTTTAGATATAACCAATATCTAAACATCAACTGTAAGTTTGATCCAGCTGAGAAATCCCAAAAGAAACTACAATAAAAACAATAGTTTATTCCCGTGTGTCAGGCTAATTGCTGTGGCCTTTCACAGTAGCCTTCTGGATTCCCTCTTTCTTTTTTTTTTTTTTTTCCTGTGGAGACATCTCCCCTATTTTCTGGGCTGAAGTACAGTGAGTCAGCATGTCTCACCACAATCTCAAATTCCTGGGCTCAAGCGAACCTTGAATTCTTGGCATAATTTTTAAAATGGTTCAGAAGTCAGGGAAGAAAGAATGTATTGTATGCATTAACCCTAAAAAATGCTTAATAACATGGCCCCTCAAAACCACTGTTTTCTTTGAATATGCAACATTATGAAATGATCCAAAAACACTGACATGAAGAGGGAGTCTAAGGAGCAGCAAAAGATTTTGAGACATCCTCTAGCAAGTCAGCATGAGACCCTAGATGTACATGTGATTCTTTCTGGTTTTGAGACAGGGTCTCATTTTGTTACAATAACTAGAGTACAATGGCATCATCATAGCTCACTGTAATCTCCAACTCCTGGGGCTCAAGGGAATCCTCCTGCTTAAGCCCTCCTGAGTAGCTGGGAATACTCAGTACAGGTTCCCACTATCACAGACTGACTAATTATTCTTTTTGCTAATTATTCTCTCTCACTCTTGCTCAAGCTGGTTTTGAACTCAGACTATCAAGGGATTCCCTTCCCTTGGCCTCACAGATTACATACCCAGCCTTAGATTCCCTCTTCATCCTATTGTGCTGAACCAGCTTAAGCTTTTGACCTTGAACCTCACGTTGCAGCATAACTCTCACAAGTTCATTAACTGTGTAGTAGAACTCCAAAATTTGGGGAACGGTTCCGTATTTACATCATCTATGGCTTCTGAGAGGCAGGAGACTGAGGTTCTAAGCATGGGCTCTGGCACCAGGCTGCATGGGTTTTGCTGCAAACAGGCTTTGGTTGCATGGCTTGGGGAAACTGCCTAACTTCTGCACTTTAATTCTCTCAACTCTGAAATGAAGCTGATCTCTGGGGATTGTTGTAAAGACTAAATTAGATAATATAATCATTTAAAACAGGATGGCTAGTGTGACTTTACTGATTTTAACTCCATTTCCCTGGAGTCCGATAGGATTTTAAATGTATAGTGGATTCTCAGTTGGTAAGCCCCTAACTGCTGGGACCTTTCATTGTATCTTGAGTCCGGCCACTGTTTGTGTGATACCCCCACAGGATTCTAATTTTCTTTTAATTTCATCTACCAAGAAACTTCTATCTACCACATAACAGGAATTCTAAGCTCTTGGCCATGTTCACTTATTTTATTCTCTTAATAACTCTATAAAGAAGATACCATTACTTATTTTCATTGTAAAGAGAAGGAAACTCCGTGACAGCAAGCATAAACAGCTCAGGGAAGGTCACAAGCAAAAAAAGAGTTGGAGAAAGGAAGTGAGTCCCGGCCCTGTGGCTCCTGAGACAGTGCTCCCACCACTGTGCTGGGCGGCCTCTCCAAAGTGGCCTCAAGGGCAAACAACCCCTCCCAGGGGCACTGACGCTACTGTGAACTAGAAGAAACGCCAGCTAATACGTAGTAAGCACAAACACACAGAAACAAATGATGATTGGGTATTTAGTATAGTCAAACTCTGTGACACCTGCCGCTCTGGGAGCACACACTTCCATACCTCTGCGAGTGGGCACAGTAAACCAGTTCCCCTTTGTCAAGTTTCCCACAATTGGATATTTTGAAATTTCACAGAAATGTGGTTTCCAGTTTTCATATTATGAAACTATCCTGTACAAAATTTCCCTCGTTTAAAGTGAAACTATTCCAAATCTTCCCATAGACGACGGAAAGCTATGTTCTATTATTTTGATGACATCTGAATCTGTACTCCTGAGGAGCCACTGAATTGAGACCAAAAGAAATTTTTCAGACTGTGGCACCGTTGGGTAGTGGGGTAATGCCAACCCAAAGTACCAGGCATTACGTTTCCTCTTAATTTAAAATGTCCCGCAGGATACAAAACATTTACTTCCAGAATCTGAAGCCAACCCACCCCTGAAGTTCTGGTAACCCAACCCCACAGTCTGACTCTCTGGTAAAACTTTCTTTTTGAAGAAATATGAAATGAAACTAAGGAGAATGCCACATCCCCCAGATGGTCTCGTTATACCTTCTTTTCTTTTATCTACAAAGGCAAGATAGAATTTCTGTCCTAAGCAACTTATTCTTTTTTTTTTTTTGCAGTTTTTGGCCAGGGCTGGGTTTGAAACCACTATCTCCAGCATATGGGGCTGATGCCCTACTCCTTTGAGCCACAGGCACCACCCAACAACTTATTCTACAGGAAAGTAGCAATTACACCTTTTCCAACCTGAAGTGATTAAAAAAAAAATTTTTTATAAACTTTGACCCATGATTGATTGACAAAATCCCTGAAATCTTTTGCACTTCAAGTACAACACTGAATGAAGAAATGATTTCCCAAAAAGGCTAATAAATTAAATAGTATAATATCTCTATTTAAACCTGTAATTCACTCCACAGCAGTGAGTGGCTAACATGTGTTAGTACTTCCTACACATCAAGCATTATTCTAGGCAAACAATTCATTCTCTCAACATCATTTACAAAGCAGATGCTCCTTGCACACCCATTACGCAGATGAGGAAACAGACGCAGAGCTGTTACGTCATTTGTCTATACTCCAGTCCCAAGAAATTGGTGGATCTAGGACTCTAACCCACCCACCAAAACTGGGTCTAATAGCCCTTGCCTTTTACCAAATATATACGGTTAACTCACAGAGATTCTGAAACCAAGACGAAGGCAAATGCCTACAAAAACAGGCCATCCTGTTTTAACTGGAAAATTCAGTTAGCAGGGACGCAGAAGATGATTTGTCTGATTTTAGGATCAAGTCTTATTCTCCTACTTGATTATAATTTGGGATTATTTTCTTCCTATTTCTACCTCCTATTATTATACGCAAGAGGCACTCAAGAAGTTCACTGAACAGGCAGATGGAAGACAAACTCCTGGAAAGTTTCTATGAGGAACTCTAAGACAACTGCCAGAGAGCTCGTTAGTTCAAGCTGTAGTAGATTAACAGGACATAAGGTTGAAATCAAAGGGCATATAGCAAATGCCCCAAAGATGTGAATGTGAAGATGTTCCAGCAGATCACATTACACAAGAAAAAAAGAGGAAGGAAACCCCGTATAAGAAAGCAGAACAGACTTGCTTCACACGGTCTTTCCTGGACTCCGCTCAGGACTGCCACAATCAGGGACGACTGAGGAGCCTCCCAAACACAGGTGAATTTCAATTTTCATTTTAAGTGTGCTAGCTTATAAGAGGGAGCGTGTGCTAAAGAAAAAAATGTTTTAAGGCCAGGCACCGTAGCTCACGTCTTTAATCCCAGGACTCTGGGAGGTCGAGGTGGGCAGACTGCCTAAGCTCACGAGTTCAAGACCAGCCTGAGCGAGGGAGAGACCTCATCTCTAAAAATAGCCGGGCATTGTGGTGGGTGCCTTAGTCCTAGCTATTCTTGGGCCTGAGCCCAAGAGTTGAGGTTGCTGTGAGCCGTGACACCACAGCACTCGACTAAGGGTAACAAAGTGACACTCCGTTTCAAAAAAAAAAACAAAAACCTTAAGAATGCTTTAATGTTGAAACTATACAAACCATAGATTATGTGCATAAGAAAAATACATAATTAACAGCAACCTGATGTATTAATAATAATTAATAATGTATTATTATCTCTTAAATGAGGCTTTGTTTTACTTCTATGTTAGAAGTAGCACTTTTGAATGAGGTAGAGCCTGTTACTTTGATTTCACAAGGGTGGGAACATGGTACTGTTCAAAGTACCAAAAAAAACTATATTTACCTGCTTTAAAAATTCTAGTCAGAGACAGCATTTTCCTTCAAGGGAGAGGGGAAGAGGGAAGGAGGATTGGGAGTCATGGTGTACGGCACGCTTCTTGGGGGCCGACACAATTATAAGAGAGACATTACCTAACAAACGCAATCACCGTAACCTAAGTCTTTGTACCCTCAGTGAATCTCAAAAAAAAAATCTGGTTTGTTAAAAATAGCACTTGCAAATCATGAAGGACTTTTTGCTTTCCTTTGTTTGTATACAGGTTTATAACAGGTGGCACCAGAAACCATGAACACCACAGTGACACCGGGCTCCAACGGGTCTGCGCCGTGTCCTAGGGACACTCAGATAGTGCAGCTGGTGTTCCCAGCCCTGTATACGGTGGTTTTCTTCACTGGCCTCCAGCTGAACATTTTGGCCCTGTGGGTGTTTGTTCACATCCCCAGCTCCTCAACCTTCATCGTCTACCTCAAAAGCACTTTGGTGGCCGACCTGATCATGACGCTCATGCTTCCTTTCAAGATCCTCTCCGACTCCCGCCTGGGACCCTGGCAGCTCCGGGCCTTCGTGTGCCGCTTCTCCTCGGTGCTCTTCTACGAGACCATGTACGTGGGCATCCTGCTCCTGGGCCTCATCGCCTTCGATAGATTCCTCAAGATCGTCAGACCGTTTGGGATGGCTTTCCTGAAAAAAACTGTCTTTGCAAAATGCATCTCAGGCCTGATCTGGTTCTTTTTGTTCTTCATCTCCCTGCCAAATATGATCTTGAGCAACAGAGAAGCAACACCATCATCCGTGAAAAAGTGTGCCTCCTTGAAGGGCCCCCTGGGGCTGAAATGGCATCAAATAGTAAATAACATATCCCAGGTTATTTTCTGGACTGTTTTTGTCCTAATGCTTCTGTTTTATGTGGTGATCGCAAAAAAAGTCTACAATTCATACAGAAAGTGCAGGAGTAAGGACAGCAAAAACAACAGGAAGCTGGAAGGCAGAGTGTTTGTGGTGGTGGCTGTCTTCTTCGTGTGTTTTGCTCCGTTTCATTTTGCCAGAGTTCCCTATACTCGCAGCCAAACCAACAGTCACACCGACTGCAGACTGCAGAACCAACTGTTTATTGCTAAAGAAACCACTCTCTTTTTGGCAGCAACGAACATTTGTATGGATCCCTTAATATATATATTCTTATGTAAAAAATTCAGAGAAAGGCTACCCTGGATGAGGGGGAGAAAGACCACGGCACCAAGCCATGACAATCAAAGCAGTCACACAGACAATATAACCCTAAGCTGACGATGTTATTTACATGCGGTTTACTTGTATTTATTAAGGAAAATTCAAAAGGTAAATTATCTGGAAATAAAATTTAAGCACTTAAAGAAAGAATTGGAACAAATGCCCTTTTACGTTGTATAATCCGCTTATACAGAGATTACATTAATTTTAACTCTGTATCAACCTTATTCACAAGCAGAATGAACTATTTAGAGAATGCAATAAGATGCAAATGGCCACTAGAGGGCATCTTTTCCGGAGTATGCATTGCGATTTTGGAAAAGATTAAAGAGAAATGGGTATCCCTAAAAACCTTCCCTCCAAACACCATCTCACAACCTTTTACAGACATAATTCAAACACTACTGCTTTGGTGATCCACTAATGTGGATATATGCTGATTTAAAACAATTTTTTTTTAAAAACTGACCTCTAAGTACCACTTTTGAGAGTTGATAGCCACGGGCTTAAAGTGTGTCTGAGAATCCCAACTGGAAAAGAAAGCCTCTGAAATCCTGGATGAGGGATTTTCTCATCCCTTGCAGTTATAAATAGCCTCTTCCCCAATACAACAACATACCAGAGGGGGCACGAGCACCATTGTTAAGCCTCTTTGCTTATACCCTAAGTGTGTAGAATACAAGGGCAAGAACGTTGTGTTGCCATCCTCTGGAATTGTCACTCTGTCCCACAAATACTCTAATGGTGGCTGAATATGCCACTGCGGACTGAGCAGGCCACAAGCTCTACTCCCTTGCCCCACAGACCACTGCAAAGAACTACTCCTACTGTGTGTGTTTACTCCTACTGCGTGTGGGGGTCTTCAATGCAGACTTCCCTTTACTAATTAGTTAGCTTATTACTGACTGGAGTCCCCAAAGATGGTTAGGATTCTTGAAAGACAGACATGTTTTCCTGATATTGTCCACATAACTCCCCACAGAGCATAGACTGCAGATGCCTAAGCCAGAATTACCATTCTTGCAATGCATATAAATGAGACTGCTGACCCATAATTAGCCACATCCATATCAGGAGAATGTTCAAAGGGCAGTGACCTGCTTGTACTTATCTAACTACATATTTTTTCCTGAATGCTTTTGTGGTTCAAAAAAGTAAGAAGTGGTTTTCTGGGACTATGGATGATAATTCATACCTTCTAGAGAAAATACACAAAAAACTGTCACGCTCTTCACCCCAGGTGAAGCCTCCTCCTGTGGCCCAGATGGCCCCAGAACTCACATACCTTTCCGGCACTCCCTTCTAATTGTTCTTCCATGCCTTGAACTTCATGCTCTTATCCAAATTTCCTTCAGGAAATGTCCTTCTCCTTTCTGCCCCTGTGTAACTACATCCCTTTGACTCACCTAGAAAACTCTTATCTCTCTGGGAGACCCTGCACCACCAGCACTTACTCTATGAAATCTAACCTGGCCAACTCCCACCGCACATCAAACTCAATCACTCCTTTACTTGTGTGTTGTCACCTAAGTTATGAAACTTATCACATGGCATTGTAATTACTTGCTTACACTTGGGTCTACTCTTTTAATAACCTGTGTATAATTTTGAGGGCAGAGACTATCTCATTGTGCAATCAATAAATGCTTGATAAAGTCATCCAAATGGGTTTTACTACGATGTGCTGGAGAAGCCAAAAGGAAGCCAACTCCCATTGATGTTTTTATTATCAAAAGATGATGTAAATTTCTTGAAAGTACAAGCTCTCTTCAGTTGCCCTCCCACAGCATGCAAGTGGGGGCCTGAGGAGCGGATGTTCCTGGATTCCCTAGTGAAGGGTCAAGACTACTAAACATACATAGCTCAGGGGCTACTGCCTGTTAACATTTCCGTTTTAAAGGTACTGATATCATGCTTTAGCTATGTATTATGAGTAATACTTCAGAAAAATTTGTAACTGTAGCATGTAACAATCACCAAAATCCTCCCTTAGAAAGTACTCTTTAAGTCTGACTTTCATTCTTTCAAATAAAGAAATTCACCCATCATTACAAATAGATCAGTCAATCCATATCACCTCTGCTGAGTACATCACACAATCACAAGCAGACTACACCACTGTGTTATATGAAACTGCACCTAAGCCACCCTTGTCAATACCAAGCTATGTTTGGTGGTATCACCCATCTATTTCACCTGTAATGACATTTTCAATCTCTGCTGAATGTGGGTACAGCTAATACAATTTCTTAGAAAGGGCCTTCGAGATAGAAGTCCAAGAGCAAATCTGTCCTCCATAAATACAAATACTTCATTTCACTGTAATAATATTGTAGTCAAAGGCAGACTGCTGATCTGTAGAATAAAATAATCTATCAAGAACTTGGAGAAGAGGCATATTAGTGATACCTTAGAAATCACATTCACAAAATGAAGAACTTCCCAAACTACCAATCAGAAAAACTAAATCCTAAAATACTTAAAGAATGGGATGCTGGAATATAGCCATAAAGGATGTATAGAAAAGAACAAAAAGGAAAAAAAAAAAAACAGCAGTTTTGACATACTACAGGAACTTGGAACACAACAGTTTTTGTAAAACTCTAAATTGCCTTTATTTTTATTAGAGAAACAGGATTAAGCTCTTCCCACTAACCTCAAGGCAAAGGGAAGCTTGGGGGAGCTGGATGGGACATAAGTGCCCTACACAGAGGCAGAAGAATTCTTGATCAACCAAGGAAAATTGCTGTAAAGTGAGGAGAAGGACGCAGAGAATCAGGGTGACTTCTCAATTCATGAAGTCAGAAGGCAGGTAAAGCAACCACACCACAACCTATAAAACCATCGTTCAATCTTACAAATCCCATTATAGCCACGTAAAACACGTTCCTTTCATAACGTTCTAAATTCCTCCTTCTAAAAGTGTCTAAACATTACTGCAAGTAAACTGTGTCCTCCCGCAAGTTACTGCATCAAAGTTCACATGGACTTTTCATAAAACACCCAGAGCAGAAAAGCTGTCTGGTGTCTAATATGAAAACTTATGTTTAGAAGACAGTAGCCCCGCTAAGGGAAGATGCAGAACAGACCAATCATTTGAAGTGCTGCAAACACACCTCAGCATTACAAATGTTACATGGAAACCAAGTATACATCCTATGAATAAGGTCTGCAGACTTTAGTGGATACCCGAGAGAGTCTACCCAAGGGAGTCTTAAACTGCAGGTGCCTGTATCTGTACTTAGCACCATCAACAAAAGCATCACACATTACTTAACTACTGACTAAGTACTAGGCAGCCATGCAAAGAGTTTCAAATGCACTGTTTCCTTCCTTCCCAGGAAGCCAGTGAAGTGCAATTATCATCTCCATTTCAGAGATCAGGAAGTTAAGAAATGGTCCAGTAACTCGTCCAGGGGTCCCCTAGCAGGCTACAAGTAGCTGGGTGGGGCTCTAATCCAAACACTGGCTTTTGAGCCCATATTCTTAACCACCATATTTACAACCTCAGACCTCCTAACAGTCTCAAGAGAAATCATAACTCCAGTCTCCTGTGCTATATTATTTCCTTTTATTTTAAAAATGTCCACTGCCACCTACACACGCTTGACCCAATAAAAACAACACATTCGTGTGTAGGTGGTAACCAGTTTGGGTGCTGCAGGCTAGTAAGCTCTGACCTAGAAGCCAGCAAGAACTTCTGGAGATTTTAGCCCAGCAGCTTGCACTGATTTATTGCATGCCCGCTGTGTGCCAGGCGCTGTGCTAAGCACTTTACAAGGTGATCGTAGTCTAATTTTTCCCACAATCTTATGCAAGAAATACTATTAGGCTCTCCCTGTTAAAAATAAGAAGAAGAAAACTAAACCACAAAGCAAACATAGACCTTGCCCATGGTACACATCAGTCACCAGCAGAAGGGCAGAGCTGGGGCTGAAACCCAGGCAGGTGGCCTCAAGAACAGTGCCTCAACTACGCTGGTATGTTGCTGACGGTTCTGCCGTACGGTCAGGCTGAGCAGATTCCTGAAAGGCTGCCATCATGCCTCACCAGAAAGGATGGTAAAGAGGCAGTTCACAGGGATGAAGGAGGGTGGGTGAGCTTCAACAACTCAGGGGTGGGAGGGGTCCCTCAGCACTTGGGAGCTTTCAGAGGAAGTCAATTCCCCAAGAATGGATCCGTTTGGCGGTCATTCCTTTGTTTACTTGGGTCACACGCAAGTAAGGGACACAGTCTACAATGAATCTAGATGTGCTAAGTGGTATGACACGTACTTAACACAGCACAGCAGCTCAGAGGAAAAGGAGAAAATGCTGGCAGGGGCAGAGCTTGAACTTGAAGGAGAAACCCAGCATTCCAAAGAGAATGCTGTGCACAATGCGCAGTTTCAGGAGGGGACAAGGAGGGTGGGACTGCTGGGGCTGGAGTGCAAAGGGACACAGAGGGAATGAGCCTGTAGCACAAGGTGGAGAAAACAGACTGTGGACAGGGCGCAGGATCCCACAGGCAAGCACTGCACTGGGGCGTCTGGACTTCACTACGGAGCCGCTACAGGTTTCAGAGCGAAACATCTGGAGGCTATGCTTGAGTCAAGTCAGTTGGACAAGAATCAAATGATTCTGGGTTGGGGGAAGAGCCACTGAGGCCAGGAGGTCAATGAAAATGGTATTCCATGCATGAGAGAAGAACTGGCGGGGGTGGGGGGATCTGATGTGAACTTTACAGACATTTTAAGAGAGAGAGGTTTTAAAACAGTCCAAACTATTGAAAGTCAGGGTATTATATGTAAAATGTATTCTCATTTGGATGCACAAAGCCTGTATATCCTCTCTGGAGGAAAACTGCTCTGAAGATCTCAGCCTGGGTGGACTGCTGGGTCATGACGGCGGGGATGGAAGCGACCTAGATATACTGAATTGGAGGCACTGAGTCCAGCAGAGGAGGCAAAACACGGACCAAGGCTACGAAGAGCCTTGTGCTGGATCAGAGGCCAAGGGAATCATCTTCCTGAGACAAGGAGAGAAAAAGAAATGAGAGAAGCACTACTCTCATGCACAGAGCAGAGGTTAGAGGAACAGAGGACGCTGCCTGGACATGGGGGGAGCAGGTAGCGTGACCATTCAGAGGAGAAACCGGAGGTCTGCTGGACTGGAAACCAAAGAACAAGAGCGATTCAAGA